CATAAAAAAAAGAATGTCAGTTTTTTCATTTTTGGCCATGGTGGTACCAATTAACGTAAAAAACGTGTAACGTGCGAAAAGCAAAAAGAATGAAACCAAACAACCTCTAGAAAATTAGAAAAAGAAAAAGCAAAGAAGGAAACTATCCGTTTTATCGTTCTTAATATATAGATGGTTTAATATCCAATTTTGTCCCTAAACTTTCATTTCTGAACTTAGTTTGTCCTTTAACTTTAGAAAACACCTAAATCATCCTTAAACTTTATTTTTCTATAACCTAAATGGTCCTTTGGTCCTTCTATCACGGAAGTGCATAGCTGACATGTTAAGTCTCCATCAATTATATTTTTTAATTTTCACAAGCTTACGTGTAAAAACACCACACCCAATGATGACATGGCAACAATATCATCCCAGGAAGCTAACGGCAACAGTAGAGAGGCTTGATTTTGGTCGGTGTCAAAACCCTCCACTTTAAATGAATCAAGTCCTACTTTTAAACTAACTTCCCTAATGAAATCCCCAAAATCAACACCTCTTTTCTTGAACTTGTTCTAGGAAGCTACTTCATTAGGGAGTTTGAACAGAAAATAACTCTTTCCAAATTGGATCCGGAAGTCGAATCTCTTGCCGATCCCAAATTTGACCTTGCTCACTTGCAATTTGGAGAAGTTATGTCGGTCGAAATCCCACTTTTGACTCGACGCAATACCCTTCAACTCGCCCTGATAAAACAAAGAAGTTGAGATCAAAGGAGGAGGAGGAGGGGGAGGATGGGTACGTGATGGGTTACCAGAAGGAGAAAGAAAGGGAGATGTGTACCTGTAGGATTTGGGTGTTGTTTAGTCGGAGAGGAATGGATGTAGTGGTGAGGAATGGGGAGAAGACGAAGATAAGGAGAGGAAAAAGGAAAAGGGAGGATGGGTACGTGATGGGTTACCAGAAGGAGGGAGAAAGGGAGAAAGGGAGATGCGTTCCTGCAGGATTTGGGTGTTGTTTAGTCGAAGAGGAATGGATGTGATGGTGAGTAATAGGGAGAAGATGAAGATAAGGAGAGGATAGAGGAAAAGGGAGGATGTCATTGTGCCGAAGATAAACATCAATGTTAATGGACTTGTCGTCTTGCGAATCTGAGTAGGGAATCTCACTTCTCTTCCATGGTCATCCAATTGGAATGGAATTGCTGCCATGTCATCAATTGGGTTGGTGTGTTTTTTCCACGTAAATTTATGAAAATTAAAAGAGGTAATTGGTGAAGATTTAACATGACAGTTATGCATTTCCGTGATGGAAGGATCATTTGGGTTATGAGAAAATAAAGTTTAAGGACAACGTGGATGCTTTCTGAAGTTAAAGGATGAACTAAGTTCAGAAATAAAAGTTTAGGGACCAAATTGGATATTAAACCTAAATAGATTGATATTCCTCACAAGCAAAGAAAAAGGTACGGAGAGAGAATTTGCTGTTTGATTTTCATTCTCTCCGATTCCGGCGAAGAAAATGGACGACGAAGTTGTGCAGCGAGTTTTTCAGGAAGGCGGCCGCGACTACTTCCCTCAACAGCCCTCCACTTCGTCGTCTTCTTCTATTCTCCAATCTCTTCCTCTCCATGTGGTGCGTCTCGATTCCTCGATCCTTATTATTTGCATGTCTATTCTTTATCTGTATTTAGCTGCATCGATGTTAATGTTAGGATTTCTGACATAATCTGGTTAGTTACCAAGAATCTTTCGAGCAAATGTTCGTTTGGTGGACTTTGGTACTTGTTCGGCTCTGTTTGATTTTGTTGTTTGGTGCGTAATTTGATTTTTGGGTAGAATCTTCAGACTCAGGATGTGAAGAAAGTTTTTGAGTGGATTGTGTTATTCTTGGTTGGTATTTGTGTTTTTAGGTATGCTGCCGGCATGTTTACGCTAAAATTTCTTCTATATTTGGGAAAATTTTCTATGGATATAATTGGTTTATTGAAAATTTTTCTAACTAATGCATTTGGTGGGCGCTTTGGTTCTTGATTGGTATTTTATATTCGCATATTCACTCTCTTTGATTTGATTTTTTGGTGTGTATTATTATAGATTGGATTCTTTGATTTGACTGGTATTTGGAAAGGGGGAGTATTATTATAGATTGGATTATCAAGAATGTTCTTGGTGTTATACCTATGTGCTATTCATAAATTTTAACCCATATTTCAATATATTGAGTTGCAATTGTATCAATGTTGTTGTATCTATGTGTATAAGTAATCTTAGAATCTATCAATGTATAGGCTGTCATGAGCTTCCAGTATGCGGACTGTTGATAGTTTGAATTCATCAAAATGATGGCTCTATTCTTTGTGGTTGCACAACACACATTGTCTGCCTACAGTATTTGCTTTCTTACTGATGCTCTGTTTTGCAAATTTCTGGATTTTCATATTGTACTTATTGAGACTTTGTGATGTTTTCTACTGACAAAATATTTATTTCTTGGAATTGTTATTTGGTGTTTTCTCTTCTACCAAGAATGCTCTTCTGAGGTTCTTTGACATAGCACATGCACAAACACATCATGTGTGTATGATGTTCTTTGAAGGCTTGTTTAGAAGTCTAATACTTGTTTGGGTTGAAATGGTGCAGTCTTTTGATCACGGGTATTATTTGTTAGTTAAATCTATACAAGAACTTAGAGAGAAAAAGGAGGGCCATGTTGTAGTTGGCATTGGTGGCCCAAGTGGTTCGGGTAAAACAAGGTAAATTATTTTGTAACTTCTTCTTCTTCTTCTTCTTCTTCTGCTTTTTTTGGGTATTGAAATGGTATTTAAGGTATGACAAGTTTTTCACTTTCTAATGTTTTTGGGTTTGTATGATGGTTCCTGAAGCTTAGCAGAGAAGGTAGCATCTGTAATTGGTTGTACTGTCATATCAATGGAGAACTATCGTAATGGAATTGATGATGGGAATGATTTGGATTCAATAGATTTTGACATGTTAGTCCAAAATCTTGAGGTTTGCATTTTGCTTCCCATTCCTTTCAATTTAAATGTCAACTCATGACATGATACTTTCCAAGTCCTTCACTATTTTCTTGGCTTTTTAAGATGGTTTTGAAATTATACAAAAGAGCTAACTGTTATTCTTTGAGAGAAGTGATTTTTCATGATACTCACTTTGGTTTGTTTTTCTAGAAACTTGTTCTGGTCACATGGAACCCTCTTGTTTTTGAGTAACATATTTATTGTGTTTAGCACTTCTTGTGTAAACACATTTATGCATCTGAATTTGTTGAGGGTTTTCCTTACACATACACATCTTTTACATTGAAAATAGGATTTGACACAAGGTAAAGATACCTCAATACCAGTGTTTGATTATCAACAAAAGAGACGTGTTGGTTTAAAAGCAGTAAAGAGTGCTTCTTCTGGAGTGGTAAGCATTTCAGAACTCTTAATATTTAGGATTGTGATAACTATGGAGTTGAGCTTCTTATACATTTTTCCTAGGTAATAGTTGATGGCACCTATGCATTGCATGCAAGGTTGCGCTCTTTGCTTGACATTCGTGTTGCAGTGGTAATCTATTGTCCCTGAGAATTACTTTTATTTGCTTTATTTTTATGCTTGGTAATGCTACTGATGCTTATGCTTCATAAACTTGGTGTGGATTATCAGGTTGGTGGTGTTCATTTTAGCCTTCTTTCCAAAGTTCGATATGATATAGCTGATTCGCGTTCACTGGATTATCTTATTGATAGTATTTTTCCATTGTTTAGAAAGCATATTGAGCCAGACCTTCATCATGCACAGGTTGGTCTTTCTATATTCTTATTCACTGAAATTTAACTGATGAGTACTCATTAATTAAACCTAATTGGCAGATTAGAATAAACAACAGCTTTGTCTCATCATTTAGAGAAGCAATATACAAGCTGAAATGCAGGAGTGAGGTTTGTGATCATGTTCTTGTCTTATATGGAAAAGTACTTTTTCTCATTGTTCATCATTAGCAAAGGTTAGGAAGTTGCTTGGTCCTGTGGCTATCCTTCATTTTTGTTGTTCTTGTTTTGTAGTCAAGTTATTAAATATAAATATATAACTATCCTTCTATTTATACACTCTTTTGTCCAGCACTGTCTACTGAGTTGGGCTACTGATAAGTCAATTTCAGATGTGATTTTCAATATGCTTCATTATTACAATCACTAACAAATTTTTATTTTTATTTATTTTTATTTTTTATTTTGATGACTTTGGACTTCTTTGGTCCTTCCATTTTTCTTTTTCCCTACTGGCTATTTGCACTTGGCTGATGAGGACCATAGCAACAAACTATGTATGCTTCAAATTTGCAGCTGAAAGTAGAAAAAGATTGGTACCTATCTTTTATACTAAAGGGCATAATAATAGCACATGATAATGGTTCAATTAAAGATAGTGGTATAAATCTCAACTATCACCTATTGATAAGGGTCAGGTGGAAAGGTCCAAATTTGGGTAAATTATGGACTGAACGACCATTTTAACCAAACATTTCCATTGCAAAGAAAGAATCTTTCTGAGCTAGGGAAAGGATATCTTATGATTGAAAAAGTTGTCTGACAGGGTGAAAGTTAATCTGGGTGATTGGTGAATTGTCATCATCGCTTGGAAAAATTCTTGGTTTTACTTTCATGTACATTGATAGGAAAACTGCTTGCCTCAAAGTTTTTCTAGTTTTAACTGCAGTTTAGCTGTCAATTTGTAGCTTCCCAGCAGTTGCTGCCGTGTGTTTTGGAATACAGCTTAAATGGGTGGGGGGATAAGATGTGAAAAGGTGTATTGTAGCACATTAAAAAGAGAGAAGGTTTCATTGTTTTAGTGTAATATGTTATTGAAGGGTGCATGCATAAGTAACAAAATATGGGAAATGCTAGTGTGTTACAAAAAACCAGAGTAACATTTCATGTACATTGTGGTCATAACCCTGGTGGCTGTTTATATTGCATATGATTATTTGCTATTTTAATTTGATAACCACTCTTGTTTAATGGCTTCTCAATGTAAACTGAAGTTTAAAGAATACATTGTTTTGGCAGCCAGCAGATGGACACTCTGCACGTTTCCTTCAAGGAAATGAAGCAGTAAAGGATAAGTAAGTGGTTACTCCTAGTTCTAGCAGCATTCCTTGATCTTATTGCTAAGATGATTATTCTCAGAAGTCTTTGAAACTGAAGTGCTAGATACTTGATCTTGCTTCTTTCAGTTTCATTGAGATGTACCTTAGGCCTCCATCAGCAAATGAGGAAGCACGGATAAATGATTGGATTAAGATGCGGCAATCTGGCATTAAATATTATCTCTCACTTGGAGACCAGAGAATTGTCGACAAAAATTTCATTATCAGGCCTAAAGCTGAATTTGAGGTGAGTAATCTCAACTCCTTTTTCTGTTCTAGCATAAGCATGTGTTGGTTAGGATGAATCCATTGTGTGATTATGTAAGGTAATCCTTCTGTTCAGAATGTGACCCTTTACCCGCTTTAATAAATAAATAAAGTAAAATGGTGTTTTCCCTGGTATATATTGTGAGGATCAACTTATATGTGTAAGAATAAGGAGCTATTTTACACATGTTTGTACTTTGTAATTCCAATATAGTTAATATTTTAAAATACTAGCCATTGGATTGATTGTTCTATTCATGGAGATTTTGCATGCCAAATTTCAAGTTGATCTAAGATTTATACTCATTTGATTGAAAAAACCGTATTTTCTACTTGTGTAATGAATGAAATAATTAAATATATTCAATCAATATGAACTTTGGCATGCATGATCTACATCCATAGAACATTTAGCACAACAGTTAGTTTTTCGAAATTTAACCATATTGGGAATTAGAAGCTTGTGTAAGAGTGGCTTATTTGTACATGTGTAAGTTGTTATCAGTTCACTGTTCAAAATTCTAGTTTAGTTCTTATTGGCTTTTGTTTCAGCATTCACAACACTTAACCAGTGAACATTAGGTAATGATAGCACCTGTGCTGATCAGTAATGTTAATTAATTCAACTAACTTGTGTATTCATATGTTTGGATTGTTAAGCTTAAGGTTAATTATGGATTGGTCACCCATAGAAAAATGTGTGAAGTGATCATAGTAGTGCTTATTCCTGGCCTATTATTCCTAGTTGTCTAGCAAATTTAGAGAAACTTGTTTGGTTAGGAGTGATTAATTTCTAGTAATGTGTGTAGTTATGTGAAACAATAAAACTTTATTGAACTCTATGGAAAATAAATTAGAACTTCATTGCTGTTTCATTCTTTCAGACGTTGATTGTCAATTTTCTTTTGAAGATTGTCAATGATGGTTTTTTTTTTTTTTTAACAGCTATGTCAATTTTCTTAACTGTTTCATGGTCTAAAATTGATCAGGTTGGAAAGATGACACTAGGTGGGTTGCTGGCTTTGGGGTACAGTGTTGTGGTCAGTTATAAAAGAGCATCTACAACAGTTAGTATTGGCAATCTTTCTTTGTCATTTGAAACAATTGATTCCCTTGGAGAGACATTCTTGGTGCTGAGGGGCACTAATAGGAAAGTAAGAACTTAATTTTTTGTGCTCTGTTTTTTGGATTTTATTCTGTTTTGTTTTCAAGAAGTGTTGATTCTTGTTCAGGGCCAAAGCTTAGAATGAAGTTCTTCTCATGTATTCTGTTTTGGGTCCCTATTTTGTTTTTTAAGACTCTAAGACATACTTTGTTTCATTCTTTCCCCCCTTTTTTTTTTCTTTTCCAATGTTTCATCCTTTTCTTTTCATGGTGCAATTTTCTGTTGGCTGTTGTACTCTTATGTCTATCTGCAAATGATAAAATTTGTTCCTGCTGCTTTTAGTGTTGTCTGCTGAGTGTATATTATTTGTAACAAGGCATGGGTTTTAGAGGATTGAAACTAGCTTAACCAACAAAAGGGTAAAAAATGTGCTTAAGATTGGATTAAAAGATAATCCAGCAGCCTTCTACTCTAAAGAGACAGAAAAATGAGACTTCATGGTAATTATTTTAACTGATATGAGTATGTAATTGGACTTCAAATTAAACAGCAGTCATAGATATATGTTAGGGACACTTCAAATTATACAGAAGTCATGGATATATATTAAGGACACCTGATCTTGATATTTCTCAATCTTGTCATTTTCTGGGTTGTTGACTAGTCTAAATTAGCAACTGTTTTCTTCCCTTCACTTTGGAAAGATTTGGCCAAAATCTTTATTTATGATGGCTACTACGTAGACAGTTGGAGCTGAAGCATTAAGAATGGGAATCAATGGACCATGGCTCACAAAGTCGTATCTGGAAATGATTCTTGAAAGAAAAGGTTGGAAACTGAATATATTTTCTATTTTATTTTTTTGGCCTGTTAAATTATTTTTCTTCTGCATGTTTCTTTAAGTTAATTCTAATTGTAGGTGTACCACGCCTCAACACCCCACCACCTATTTCTTCTTCATCTGTTTCACCACCAAGTAATCAAGAAAGGGTGATTGCCGCACCAAAGCCTATCCGAATTAGTTCAAACATTGTGACTCAGCTTGAGGATTTATCTCAGCCTTGGACTCGATCTCCAACAAAGTCGAAAATGGAACCTGTTTCAGCAACTTGGTGTTTTATCCCATCCGATTCCTGTCATTCTGATTCAGTTACAGGTATGTCTCCTCTACTCTGAAAATATTGTTACAATCATTTATTCCTAATAGGCTGTGTTATGGAAGGGTTATATTACAACTTAATGCTTTGACTCTATCATGAAGCAACCACAGATTCTTCCTCTTTCAGGGACACTATGAAACTTGCCCCAATGCCTGATTCATATGACTTGGATAGGGGCTTGCTTCTTGCTATTCAAGCAATACAGGTAATGGAGTTTAATTTGCCAGAACCAAATCAGGTGTTCTCAAAATAGAAAACCTAGGAGGCTGAATAATTTGTCAAAAGTAATGCATTTTCATTTAATTTTCAGGCTTTGTTGGAGAACAAAGGTCTCCCTGTAATTGTTGGAATTGGTAACATATTAAAATCTCTCTTCCTCTCTCTCTTGCTCTCTAGTCTGAATGACAGTATGAACTTTGTTAAGTGTAATGATTAAGCTTGCAGTTTCTGTTTTGGCCACAAATAAGGAGAGAAATAGCGTAATAATATTTAGCATCTGGCACCAAGTTCTGACAAATAGCAAGTAACAGTTAGCATGTTTTAAGGTCTGAATGGTCAATGGTTGGTTGACTTATAGATAGGCCATTTCAACTGTTTGTTTGGCAATGTTTGGGTTATGATGTCATGGTAAATTATTGATTATCAATCATTCTTAAATAAAGTTCAAAGAATTTCTTTTCTAAGATTTTATTTTATTTTTATCAACCAAATAGATGTTTACTATGATTTTAAAATTTTTAGTTGTCTCATTTGCATGTTAATGCTTCTTAGTTCATATATCATTAGTCTTTTTTCCTTTTTCTTCTTTCCAAGCATGTAGGTCCCCCCGTTTGATGAAGGATACAAATTTCCTCTTGTGGCCTATAAAGTCTGAATATTATTCAATCTTTCTTCTGTTTCAATAACATGCAGTTTAGCCTATGCCTATTAGAGTTATGCCCAAACCAAGGTCCTCTGCATCAAGGTTTTAAGCATCTATATCTACCTGTTCTGCATTTCTTAGTTTGATTGGTGGCTAAGTGGTGAACTTATGTTTCAGAAATGGATATTTCAGTCAGTTGAACCATATAAACAGAGAATAAATTTATCACCGTCTTTGATTATTTTTTTTCAATATTTTTTTTTTTTATGGTTAGAGTGCAGTGTTCCTATTAAACAGTTTAATGATGTTCTCATTTTTTTCTGCAGGTGGTCCTAGTGGGTCTGGAAAAACCAGTTTGGCTCATAAGATGGCTAATATTGTTGGTTGTGAGGTAGTGTCGCTTGAAAGCTATTTCAAGTTAAAGGATTTCAAGTACGATGACTTCAACTCCATTGATTTGATTTTACTCTCAAAGGTTAGGTTTCATTTTTAGGATATGTCTTTTCTAGTTATCTCACATATTGACATCTGCACTATTTGGAAATGACTTATTGTTTTCACCATGTCTTTGCAGAATATTGATGACATAAGGAATGGTCGAAGGACAAAAGTACCTGTGTTTGATTTGGAGACTGGTTCACGTAGTGGATTCAAGGAACTAGAAGTATCTGATGACTGTGGTGTTGTATGTTATAATCCCATTCTCTGTTGCTTGGAAAACTAGTATCTCTTAATTTGTTTTTTGTATAGTGCCTTGCTAATGTTGTTGTTTTTGCCTTTTAGTTTTGGTTGTCAAAAATTCAATGACTTCTTATTAAATTAAAAAAATTTCAGTTTCGTTTTTTAATTTGAAACTTGTATCGAACAAGTTATTAATTTTAATTTTTAATTTTGGTGTTCACGTGTCAATTTTGATTATTCAAATTTTGGCAACCAAAAATAACGTTGCTAATTGGGCCCTTAGTTATTTCTGGCACCTGACTAGTTTCCACCAGATTCTCTTATTAGTTCCAAATAAATGTCTTTAGAATTTGTTTTTGGGAGAGGGAAAACTACATAAATGCAAAGGAAGGTTTCTTTCCAAGGTTTTGCTAAAGTGTGTTGGCCTTTTATTTGTTAGATGGATAGCCTCTAGTTTTCTTCAGTTAGTTGATATTATATAAGTGGAGTATAAAAGTTATATTGGTGAAGATTGGGCTTTCCTTGGCCTTAAGTAAATAGTTGTTGATATTGGCATGTTTGTTTATTTGTTTAAATAACACCAACATTTAGAATTTACTTTGTTTCATTGATCAGATAATTTTTGAAGGGGTTTATGCTCTGCGTCCTGAAATACGAAAATCACTTGACTTGTGGATTGCTGTTGTAAGTTGACTTTCTACCCCATCTTTTATGCCTAATTTTTCCTTGTATTATTCTCATATTATCATGCTTCCTCTGAGAAAAGATTGGTTGTTAAGTTACTTGTTTTCTGGAAAGCAGGTTGGAGGTGTTCACTCACATCTAATTTCTCGAGTTCAGAGGGATAAGAGTAGGGTGGGGTCTTTTATGTCGCAAAATGAGATCATGATGACAGTGTTTCCTATGTTCCAGCAGTACATTGAACCACATCTTGTTCATGCACATGTTAGTGTTCTTTGAAAGATCTTATATTGTTGTTTACCTTCTCTCTTGAAGCAATAAAAGTCCTCTAGTGATTTTTTATTCTTTTTTCTCCTTTTAATATTGACCAGTTGAAGAAATCTTTTAGTTTGGTGAAGGGAGTATGTTTAGATGTTCTATATCTGCAAGCATAAGTATGGTCTTTGGCACTGATGAATGCTTTTTGCTCCTAAATATTGTGATGGCTTGCAATGCTACCATTTTCACTGCAATGTTTTATTTTATAATTGTAGCTCAAAATTCGGAATGACTTTGATCCGGTTCTTTCTCCAGAGAGTTCGCTATTTGTTTTAAAGAGTAACAAGCAAGTAAGTATTTGATGCTCCTGTCCTGAACTCATTTGAGGTGGTTTATAACTGACAAAGCTTTACTTCTTGTCTTTAAAAGGTGGCTCACCAAGATATTATAAACATCCTTGATCCTGCAAAGTTCTGCAGTTCTGTTCAGAATTTCATTGATATGTATTTAAGGCTTCCTGGGATTCCTACTAATGGGCAGTTGTCAGAGAGTGACTGCATACGTGTTAGAATATGTGAAGGCAGGTTTGCGTTGCTGATACGTGAGGTTAGCAGTCAAATATCTATGACAGTTTTTAGTCTGTGGGATGTTCTCTCTCTGAAAATGAGGTGAATAGTTGATGTCTCATTTTTGTGTAAATTCTGTTTGTTAGCCTATAAGGGAAGGGAATTTCATCATTCAACCCAAAGTGGATTTTGACATCAGCGTTAACACAGTCGCTGGCCTTCTTAACCTTGGGTAGGTCACATGAGAGATCATCTCCACTAGCCTTTTTTTTTTTTCCCCTCACTATTCAACTTATTTTTAGTATCTTCCTTCCTGCTTTTGACTTTGGCAACAGTTCTTTAAACTGGTTGAAATGCTATCTTATTTTCATTTTGTGGTGCCAGGTATCAAGCTGTGGCTTATATCGAAGCATCTGCACTCATATACCAAGATGGGAAGGTAAAAATTGGTTTGGATTTTGCTTTTGGCACATTTATTCCTGTATGAGATGTATATTCTTTTTGGAGTCATTGTTGTGATGAAATAATAGACTTTAGCTTATCAATATTTTTCATATTTGATTAGTGGTATAAAGCCAAAAGTAGCCCTGAAACTTGCATGAAATTTGGAACTGTTTTATTATACTTTTCTTTTGCTCAATGCTGAAAAGGAAATTCGGTGGTGATTTATTTAAAGGCAATATATAATATTGTTTCAGTTTAACCATTTGGAAGTATTCAATCAACTTCAAAGAGATATGTTCTCTTGTCTTAGTTAACTACTCCTTACTAGAGGAAGAAGGGTCACATTGCTTCTCCTTTTGACTTTACCCTCCATTCCAAATAAACACCTCTCTCTATTAATTTGTGATATTCTTTTCCTAAGAAAATGCATTTTAAAGGCTTCATGCAACCTAGAGCTGTTTTCTCTGTTCTTCTTTTTCTCTGATACCAGTGATCACCACATTTATGATTGGAACAAATTTCATATTTTCATGCACATGCCATCATCATTTAGTTTTTACCTAAGATTCTTTGAATCCTTGGATTGCATAGGATAGGCAAGTAAGGCTACCATTCTGGATTATTTCTTTTAGCTGCTGGGTCCATGTAATTGATGCTGCTTGTAATGTATCATGATAAATCCCCAAGGACTTCCTATATTCCCCTGCCTACCTTCCCCAAGTATTTCTTATCTTACTTTCTATCTCGTGCATTTTCTTACCTCTTCTCATTTTTGGCTTGACAAATTTGATCTTGGTCTCTTAGATTCTTATTGAGGTTGATCACCTACAAGATGTGCCCAGCCCTTACTTGCAGATTAAAGGGATTAATAAGGAATCTGTGGCAGCTGCTGGTTCAACCCTGAATCTGGATGGTTCATACACTACCAAGGTTTTTCCCCTTTTTCTTTTACCTGGGGGGTTTGGGGAAAGGAGATATGGGTGCAATTACAATGGCCTGAGTTGAACTCAGGACTTATTAAGTCATCAAGCTCTTAGGCTTGGGACATGAACTATTGAACCATAACTGCTGGTTCACTTCCCAGGTTTTGCTTAATTTTGTACTCAGAAGATGACTATATTGTTCATTCTCAATACCAACTATTATGTAGCTTAATGTGATTGGTTTTTTCCCCCCCTCCTAGAGTTATCTTGAAATAGTTGTTGAGCGATTACCACTGGTGGAAAGAAGTTACAGTGAAATTCAACTGCACCAAGCTGCAAGGTTGCAGGGACTTGTGGAATATATACAATCTCAGGTATATTCTCACTTGTAAACTTTCATAAATCAATCATCCATTTAAAACTGACTAAGAAGTTCTATGGCCAAAAGCTGAATAGTTTTTCAGGACCTTACATTGTTTTGTAAGAGGTATGGGGTAGCCTCTAATGTCAGCTTTCAAATAGTTGATGGAAATTGAACTATTGTTGTGAGAATAGTTGTCCTAATAGGCTTGATAATTTAGGGTCCACATGTTAAGGAGTTCTGGTTTCTCTTTAATAGAATTGTAGCAGTTTTTCCTTTTCATGTTTGCATCATTCAAAATTCTCCAAAGGAAAACTACAAACTTCTATGTTTGATGGTGCTTTGGGAAAAAACAGGGTAGCAGTACTACCTCGGAATCCTCACCTAGCAGGGATGCTGCTCCACTAGAAGGCATAATAGAAGAGATGCAATGTAGGATTAGAAGGCTTGAACGCTGGCATACTATCAACACGGTATTTTTCTGACAGTTTGCTTATATGTGTGTTTGTAGATCTACTTTAGAATTACAGTTTCCTTTTTTCCATCTATGTGGTGTCACGGCCTAATATTGTTTTGCTCAAATTCCTTTCTTTTCATTTGCTAGTTTCTTGTCTAGCTTATTGCATAACAAGCAACCATTTATCCCTGCAGGTACTCTGGACGTTCATGATGTCTGCCCTTGTCGGGTATTCACTTTACCAAAGAAGGCGCCAATAGCTTGAAAGAAGATTTACTCGTCCCATGACAGGTTCCCATGGAATCCCCATTGTGGCTTCCAGAATATTTGGGTCTTAACAAAATTTTTAAGAAAAGTTTTATCATTGAAATCAACTGGAAAAACAGCAATCTCAATGTACAAAGCCTATTGTTTAACCCCGCCCTCCATTTTGTAATTACTTTCTTATGGAGGAAACAAGAATATAATTCAATAGATGCTGTAAACCTGTAATCCCTTTTTAATGGGTCCAGGAAGGAATAGTTCAATACTTGAATTACACCTAATTTTCTGGTAAGATCATATCCAACTTTGTGCATTAGCAAGATTGAAAGGACATTTACCAATAAGAGCTTAGTTGAGAATCTTCGAAGTATCTTTTTCCATTTCCTTTATACAAACGAAAAAGACTCGAGAATGCTCTGATCTGCATTCTGTTATTTTGACATCCTCTTATGCAGAAGGATATAATAACAAGCAACTGTTAGGTACATTCTTTCTAATTCATACTTGGTTTGATGATTGGCTTTTTATCGTAGATGAAAGGGAAGCAACAGCCTCTCCCACCGTCAAAAACAAGCTATCTGGTCTGGTAAAATCGCCGGTTTCATCTGATCTCTGCAATTTCTCCAACGCCTCGCCCAAAGGATTCACCAACACAAGCTGTAACGCCAACAAAAACACATTTGTAATAGAACATACGAACATGCAGACACTGCTAACAACGTTTCTGCTTACCTCAATACTCTTCTTTTCCAATGCTTTCCTCAACTCTTTAAAGAGGGAGATTCCACTTGTGTCGATGGCACTTACAGCTGTGTGTGATTAAAAAGGCATCTGGGTCATGTCTTCTTCAGCAACAAGTAGAATCATTTCCATCTCATTACTAAGACGATCTTACCTGACATCTCTAAAATAACAAATTGGAGAGTTGAGTGTTTCTTTAGATCTTCCTCTGATTCATATTCTTCTATCCATCTCAAAATCCTTCACAGAAAAAGCCTCATTATCAAGAAAAATCCCAAAAGGGAATATTGTTCATGTTCAAACAAGGTTCATAGGAGTGATAACCAACCTCTCATTCAGATATGTTGTGTTGGCAAAGTTGATTGGGGCTTCAATGCTTAAAATAAGGAAACCAGGGATCTTCATGGCTTCCTTGTAATGGTCAAGGTTTCGATAAATAGCTGTTCCAGGTATGTTCCCCAGCATTGCTGTCTTTGGCCTAGTCACTTGCAGGAGGATCTTGAAGATAGATAGTCCAACCTGGTCATCATTCATTATCCCATGCCATCAACATATCCAGCACAAAGCTTTTGCTTGAGCATGTTCAAATTTTTGTTGAAAGGCAAATATACAGCAAACTTACCGCAATGGCAAGGCCATTTTGGACTGAGATGAAAATGACACCAAAGAATGCACAGAGCACCACAAGGAAATCAAATTTGTCAATCTTCCATATTTGATAGGTGGCTGGAATGTCTATTAAGCCAACTACTGCTGTGACTATGATAGCCCCCAACACAACATTTGGCGTGTACTGGAACAGAGGCATAAGGAAGAGCAAAGTCACCATGACAGTAATCGACATTACTATGTTAGACACTGCAGTTTTTGCTCCTGCGTTGTGATTGACAGCTGACCGCGAGAAAGCACCTGATATCAAACCTTTGTTAAAATACTGTATATATCGTAATACTAATATCCCTCTCATTTGAAGTGGTTAGATTCTTAAGGAAATGAAGAGTGGCTGGAAGTAACTGCACACCTGTTGTGACATAACAAGATGTGGAGGAGCCAACCATGTTCATCAATCCAATTGCCATCATTTCCTTGTTACCATCCACTTTGTAATTCTTTATAGCAGCGAAAGTCCTTCCCACAGCAATGCCTTCCTGTTTGATACAAAGTTGACCCAAATTAAGTGGTTGCTAAGTATCGTTTCATTATCAAACTGATGAGATTCAACATGATTCAATCAGGCACACAACGAAAAACCGGACAACTTTGATGCTGATGCCATGTTCTTATATCTTTTCATCTGGCCATATTTGGGAATTAATGTTGTTAATCTCTTCTATTTTGTGTTATGTGTTAGCCAATGATTTCAATTACAAATTATCAGCACTAAGATTGTATAACAGGTCAACCCTCTTATTCTACCTCCCATATAAGCTTATGCTTTAGAACCGCAAAAAATCTCCCACAAAATGAACCTCTATTGATTAACAAGATAAGTAAGAGATGAGGTTTTAAGTGGCTATAAAGGCTGGAGTTGACTATTTGACCAGAAAAGGGCTAAGGCAGCCGTTGTTTCTCTATACTACAGAATATTCTCTGACTCCTCCAACTGGCTATTCAACACATCATATGGTATCATTTATTCCATGCATATCTCTACTGCCACAAATTATCTGCTACTAACTGCCAACCTACGAAATTATATTGATTTAAATTCACCTGAATGTGGTGACTTGAATTTGGTTCATCTCCCAAGCAAAAGAGCTCGGTGCCCATCGAGTTCAAATCAAGCCAACAGCTTAGAATAGAGAACATTGAATATGAAATAATAATGACATTCCCCTCTATACCCATTGTCATTTTGTCAGCACTTTTGTATTCCAACTTTATTATTTCCACCACATTCGAACCGAACACAAAACTCAGAAAATTTAAACTTTACATGCTGTTCAGTGAGAAATTCAAGAACATACAGTGAGTGAGATGATGCCAGTAATAAGCCCTGTTTTGATCACCAATCCGAGGTGGCTTCCATGGAACTGCAGCGACTTCCATGAAGGAGGATTTAACCCTTCTTGTAATTTTCCAATCTAATCACAAAAAGAAAACAAAGAAAGAAAAACCCCATATATTAACAGCCAGCAAACTAGAGATAGAAATGAGTTAAACTTCGTGAGGGACCCAGAAACACCTACAGTACTGATTCCATGAAGCTGAACCTTGAATGCAAAAATCAGGAGGGTAGAGATGATCACAGACACCAGAGGGGCTCCAGCTGAGACCCAGAACAGCTTTGGTCTTCTCATGCTCTGCATGGCACACATCCCTATTTCTCATTAGTCAACTCCCATTGGCCATTCTCGTGGGTTCAACACCCCCTTCTTAGGGACCCAATGCCGATGTGGCCACATTAGGTATTTTTTAATGCAGATGTGGCCACATTAGTGTACCTTAATAACCATACCTAACGTTCTTGCAAAGTGCAAACTAGTACAGTAATATTATTTTTAAAATTTAGAGCCCCAAAGACCAGAGTAACATCAGACACGTAGGGGGCATGCAGAATTGGTAAGACCAGAGGATTGGAGCCAGGTGGACAACTGACAAATATAACCGTCCACAATAAATTATATGCCATGAAAATCAACTTCATTCTTCACCCTTCTTCTAGGCGATTAAGCACGCCTTTAAAAAACGAAAGAAAGAAAACACTAACTTATAATTCAATTGATAAAGTGGATATTTTTCAACTTGGAATTATAAATGAATTGAGTAAGACAAATTTATCAGCATAAGGTTATGGACTTGTTTCAAGTAAATGTTCGGTAAGAATTATTTTTTATTATAGAATTTATTTTAGATGTATATGAAAAAATATTTATTTTAATTAATTTAATTTAATTTTTAAATAAAATTTAATTACATAATTTTGTATAATAAATAGATAATAATTAAAAAAATTTATATTAAATTTTGTTAGATATTTTTATTTTGATTAATAAAATTTTTAATTATTATTTATTTGTTATATAAAATTATTAAATTAATTTATATAAAGTTAAGAAATTAAGACAACTAAAAAAAACTGAAGAAAGTATATATGTAATTATATATCACGGATTCGAATTTCCTCTTCCAACATGAAAATAAAAATGAAAGCAAGGAAAGAGCAGAAAACATACAATATGCCTTGCCACCAACAGCAACACAAGGAAGCAAAACCCCATTAATATTGTTTGCCATGACCACTGCAACAGAACCAAAAACAGAGGGATTATAAATTTTTGGGAAATTCGGAGACTTTTGATGTAATTAATAGTGGAATAATATTATGTACCTCGTTGGTGTGGTGAAAAGCAGAGCTAAGGACTGGAACCAGACCCATTTGTTTAGTGAAATTGGTGATTCCGAGGAGGCTTTTCAGCTGCTGTAAAGACACAATGATGGCAGCTCCAGCCATAAAGCCTATCAGAGTTGCCCTTGAAAGGAAATCAATGATGAATCCAAGCCTTCAGGATACCCCAGAAAGGAATCATAAGTCCATAACACAGGACAGGTTGAAATGAAACCAAATCAGTTGAACATACTCAGATATTAAGAAGGGTAGGTAACTAAACTTACCTTAATAATCCCAAAGAAGCTTGAAAGAGACCAGCAAAGAAAGTAGTGGTGAAGGCAAGTTGAAGAAACAGGGTAGGATCACTGGAGGGGGACACTTCTTGTCTGAGCATGGATCCCAGTATTAGAGATGCAATGGAAACTGGCCCTACTGCAAGGTCCCTTGAGCTCCCCAGTACAGCATACACCAGAGGAGGCACAAAGCTCGAATCTTTACACAAACCCAATTTATCAAACAGGAAGCTTTAATAAATATACAAGAAGGGAAATTAAGAAAAGGAAAGAACAAGATGAAGACAAAATACTCACATAGACCCACAATGGGAGGTAGACTAGCAAGTTTAGCATAACTGATGCCCTGTAGCAAGAATACGATTTTCTTTAAGGAAAAAAACAGAAACAGGTGGAGAACTAAAGTAATTTTTTGGGAATTAGTATGACCTGAGGAATGGCTAAGCTAGCAATGGTGAGGCCTGAGACGAGATCGGATTTGAAGAGTTTGAAGCTATAATTAGGACCCCATTGAAGGATAGGGAAGAGGTACTGAGCTCCAAGGATCCATTTTTTCTTCAGTGGCTGCCCTTGGAACTGGCGCAAAGGGTCATCAGGGAAAAAGGTTTCCTTGAGTCTGTTCTTGAGCTTCTCCAGAGAGCTTCTCCGAGGCGGTGGTGCAACCTTGTGTATCTCCATGGTTATTTCTAAGCAATGGGGTTCGACACTAGTACTATTAGTAGCATTTGGTTGTTGGTCCATGAGTATTAAATGAAGGAAAAATTGAAAATGATTTGGTTCTGTTTATGTTGGGCAATTTACGTCTCTTATATGTGTGCGTGAAGCCCCCCTCCCCACACATCCATCAATTTCACCGGAAGACCACTACCAAGACAATAATGAACATCGAACGTCCGTTTCAATTCAGTGACATTAGACTTGGATTAGAGCTGTTCACCTCCGGTAGGTTGTACGTTCGAACCTCATGAAACCCTTTCCTCCTCATAGGACTGTTCACATCCGATGAGTTACATGTTCAAACGTACCTCACGGAAACTATTTCTCCCTCCCCCAATTAATCCTGTGAATAATTATAAATTATTCAAAAAAAAAAAGAAAAAAAGAGACAATAATGAACATCAAAGGCTAAAGGGAGAAATGGGTGGGCCTTATCAATATGACGTTTTGGGTAACCCCACTTTACTTTTACATTAATGCCTGTTATTATTAAAAAGAAAAATGATCGGCTAATATACTTCATTAAAATAAAAAAAGAAAAAAGAAGCCGCCTGCATTGGATTAGCGACAAAATAGTATTTTCATGTACATATATTTACTCAATTTTTCATTAAATATTTTGTCTTTTCAACTTAGATAGGATTTAAAAAACAAAAAAATGTGTAATTTTAGTTTTAGTAGACTAAAAAAATGCAAGTTTAGATTAAAATAAAACATTTCACAATAAATAAATAAGAAAAAAAATATTATAAAATAATTGTCATTCAATGTAACTATTTCATTGTCATTTTATCTCTCATTTGTAATTAGTTTAGTGGAGAGAATTAAAGAGGGGAATAAAATGTGGGTTGGTTTTAATGTTATCCACATGTTATTATGAACTAACCAACTTAATTTCTATTTGAGAAAATTCTATTGTTTTTACATATTGGACGCTTTGATTTGATATGATGAACCCGCTCTTTCACACAAAAATACCACTGAAGAAAATAGGTTCAACTAAATCATCATTACTGGGCAAGTTTCATAAATGTCCAGATATGAGCCATACCAAACTTGTGGCTTCGGTCGGTGAAGCAATCTTCATTTGGCACATATGCATACAACACACTGCATATCCACCTTCCAGTGACGTCTCACAAGATATTCAAATTTCATGATAATTAATGTCAAAGATTTAACCCTCAGCATTGCGAAGCAGATAACATATGCAAAAAAGAGGGATTAATGTTGATCATGTTAAGTGAAAAAATCTTATGTTGAGGATATATAATAAAGAAATATTTGATTTAAATATAAAGAAGGTTATTATATTTATTATTAATTGGTTTTTAAGTTTGATGTAGTTTTTTTTATTAAAACTCATAGATATAATTTTCACATTATATTAAAATATATTGAGTAGAAAAATCTTTTGTCGATAATGTAATAAATAAACATATTCTTTAAATATAATGAGCGTTACTCCACTAATGTGGAAAAATCTAAAACATATCTTTTAAATATAAAAAAGATTTCCTCACCTATTATCAAATATTAGTTATAACTTAGAAGATACAACATTGTGTTAAAAATCTACATACACAATTTTAAATATCATAAAGTTTTGAGGCTCCTCTCAAATTTAAAAAATGAGATTGTCTAGTAACAACAAAGAATCAAACACACCCGTGTCACGCTTGGTAGTTCAAGTGTCATTGAGTTTCTGGGATTTGTCCGAACTCGAAAGTTGTGAGGCTCCTCTCAAATTTTACTTGAAAAAGAGATCGTATCATTGTCTGTCTAGCAACAATAAAGATTAAAGAATCAAAGAATCAAACACAACATCCTAGTGTTTATGTCATGTTTCAACTTCTTTCTCATGGTTGAACATTGACATTTGATCTTCAAGGATTAAACTAGTACTAATCTGCAATAATCTGGGAACAAAATGCGCAAAGGATATATATAAACATGATTCAATACGATTCAGTTCAGAGTTTATAATGATAATTTTGTCGTAATATATACACTTTAAATTCCTTGAGCTAATTCCCCAACTGAGGAAGGGCCAAACCCAACAAATTCAATATTATTCTTCTTTCATCTTCCCATGTGAAATAGCTGAAAGTAAAGTACAAGCCAGCAATATTAATGCAATAATCAAAATAATTCATGTTAATCAAACTTCAATTATGCCAAAGTCTTTTCAAGATTCCAGTGTTTGTATTCAAAATTTATATAATTTGGATTGGGATTTCAGACAAGAAGGTTACATAAGGAATAGGTAGGAATGCTAAACCAAAGTGGCAACGTGAATCGACCAATGTTGTCTCTTATTTTTTTTTTTTGATGAATAAAAATGTATTATAAATTATGAGTACAAGGGGTACTCGCCCATTACATTAGGATAAGTGCTGTGTCATATTAAAAATGAGTAGTACATAATTTTGGGAATTGACACCAGTCACTAAAACAAAAAGCAGCAAGTTTCAATTTACCTTTTATCCAAGCAAATGTTTTGGTCTTTACTAGCTCGATTAAATTGTCCTCATCCCATTCAAGTTTATTGAAAGCAATTCCATTTCTAAAATACTAGATGGCCCAAGCAGTAGTAAATATGGAGAGGACCCAACAATCTTTAACATCTTGAGGGACTGGCAGTGAGCAAAGTTGAGTAAGCAGATCGAGGGCCTTGTCAGGAAAAACAAGAGAAAAACCCCACCAACAACATATGCGGCTCTAAATGCTTTGGGAGTAAATGCATGTGGGAAAAATATGATTTGCATCCTCTAAATAACCATTACATAGCACACAACCAGATCTAGATGCTAAGTCAATACCACGTTGGATGAGATTGTCCTTTGTGGGAAAGCGATTTAATAGAAGACACCAAGAGAAGACACTGACTTTTGTGGGTATAAGATGACTCCATATTAACTTGCAGTAGAATATATCCAGACAAGGGGGAGACATGTCAAGAAAAAGATATGCCATTTTTTTAGTATAACCAGCAGGGCAGTGCTTCCATATAATTTGATCTGATTTTCCTACAGAGATGCTGACATTTTGCAGGATATCTTCCAAGATTTGAAGCTCATCTAGTTCTCTTCCAAAAGGGGGTCTGCACCATTGGAGAATCCATCCCTCACCCTTGGTTGGTTTTAGATCAGCCACCAATAAGTTCTCGTTAAGAGTGAGCTTGAATAGTCAAGGGAAAACAAGCATTAGTGGAAAAGTTTCCACCCAGGCATCTTTCCAAAATCTGGTTCCGTATCCATCACCAAGCTGACGAGAGAAACCTTCAGAGAAGCACTTGGTATTTCTTTCACAATCCCTGCTAATAGATAAAATATCCTTCCAAATTGCAGATATTTTTGAAGATGTAGTGTTGGAGATTGAAATAGTTGAAGTGCCATTATAGTACTTGCTAATAGTTATCTTCTTCCACAATTTCTCATTTTCAGCATCATCATAAAACTTATCCCACCACTTTCCTAAAAGAGCAATATTTTTAATAGCAAGGTTTGGGATGCCAAGGCCACCCTTATTTTTTGCTAGACATACCCTTTCCCAGTTTACCCATGCAATCTTCTTAGACTCATCTGAGTTCCCCCATAAGAAGTTCTTTTGTATTCTAATGAGCTCTTTTAAGATGCCTTTTGGAACTTTAAAGATAGAGAAGTAGAATAGAGGTAGAGCAGAAAGTACCGACGTGAGAAGAGTGATGCGACCACCGATTGAAAGAAGCTTTCCTTTCCAAGATGCCAATTTTGATCGGAACTTTTCAATCACTGGCTTCCGAAAAGAATGATGGTGAGGATTTCCTCCAACAGGGAGCCCCAGGTAAATGAAGGGAGTTTTCCCAGCTTTGCAGTTTAAGGTAGAGGCAGCCATGCTGATCCAAGTCTCATCCACATTGATCCCGATTAGTACACTTTTATTAAAATTTATTCTGAGGCCCGACATAATTTCAAACCATCTTAGGGCATACTTGATGGCCAAGATGGAATTGATAGAGGCCTCACAAATTAGAGCAGTGTCATCAGCAAACTGGAGGTGAGAAATAGAAGTTTTATCATCAATCACCACTCCCTTAAAGACGTCTTTTTTTTCTACTTCAAGGAGAAGAGCATGAAAACCTTCAGCCACAATAAGGAATAAATAGGGAGAAAGGGGGTCTCCTTGTCTGAAACCTCTCCCGTCAAGTCCTCTTAGTTGTTACTCCTTTAACTACTACCAAGTGTCATATTTTGGCGAAGAATAAAATGCTCTTTAGCATAGCTATTTTGTTTTTATTAAAGAATAATGCCTTTGAAAAATACTTCTATTTGACTCTTAATTCCACTTGGTTTTTCTTTGGTTGGCAAGGGAAAACTTAGAATAGGACAAGTAAACATGCTAAAATAACACTTATAAAAATGTGAGTATTTATTGTTTGACACAACTTTTGAAAAAACTTGATTGATAAATTTTTTTTTTTTTGAAAAGGCTTTATTTAGTTTAAAAGCTAATAAAGGGAAGTTATTGAAAATGATATTTAGCTTTTAGAGAGCTAAAAATTGAAGGTATGAAGATTTTTAACTTTTGGGTTTTTTTTTTTTT